AGATTCAGGACTTTGGTGCTCTGCTGATCGAGGTTCAGATTAGGGCAAAATTAGAACAAAATAAGAGGACTGAAGAACTAAAAGGGGATAGCGTGAATTAAGCAGAACTAACGCTTAGAGTTAGGTTTTTGTATAGAGGAGTGAAGACGAAGAAGAAATACCTTCCTGAATGCATTCATGAAATTAACCAATGACAAACCAGATAACCAATCTCCAACAGAAGGCCAAGAAAATATGATACCTAAAGACAAAAAACATGACAAAACAACCGTAGGGAACCAAAAATTCCTTAAAATAAAAAAACAAAATATTAATTCGCAATCAACTAACGCATTCATTCATCTAGCAAACTAAATAATAAGTAGTAGCAAAAAGAAGGTCAAAACCACAATAGCTAAATTCGCAGCATATTCATGTGCAGATATAAGCTATTATTTATCTGATGAAACATATGCTATGCTGAATAAGCCGAAAATAAACAGAAAATGAACCTGCAATCTGAAATCGGCGTCATCGAACTTCATCTTCTCTAGAATAGAGAGGCAAAACTCCACCGACTTCTCAAGGATCACCAAAACCAACGACTCTCCGCTCTCCGCTGCTCAAAAACATCGACCAATTAGCCCTAAAAAATCACAACAAAACTTCCAATTCCATCAAAACAAAAGCAAAACCTGAAATCGAGAGAGAAGAGCCGACGAGCAATTTGGCGGCGAAGATGACTGCATCGATCTGAGATGCGCTACACGACTCCAACCCTAGCCGGGCTTCGGAATCGAGGATCGCAAGGAATCGAAAGAGAGCGGACTTGATCGGAGCGGAGCGGAAGCGGTGAGCGAAATCGCGATGGGGACTGCGATCCTTGAAGAGGTCTAAGAGATTGGAGATCTCTTCCATGGCGATGGAGAGATCAGTTCATGAGACGAGTCGGCGAATCGGAGAGGCGATGACGAGGGGTTGAGGGGGGAGAAAAGGGGATGACGTTGGTTTGGGGGAAAATAAATGAGGAAAAAACGAAAATCGAAAAAACACATCAGTACCCAAACACATCAGTACGAAAATCGAAAATCAAAAGTGAATTAAATCGAAAATCAAAAGTGAATTAAATTTGGTGGAAGGCTATTTTGGGGAGGGTAAAGTTTTTTTGGAACTCCCTCTTTTAAAGGGTAGATAGATATCTATGCTTAAGAAGTTCCCTTTTGAAGTTCTTTTTACACATGCATTTAATATGGTTAAAAATAATAATCGGTCAATCATTTTATGCATGAGAGAGGCTTTCAAACATGTTAGTTTTAACTCAATGTTAAGTTAAATTAGCACACAAATCTTCTAGTCTGGTGATTAATAAATTGATATTTTTGTATGCGTCATTAGTGTTATGAACGAGAATCACCAAATACTTTCTGACACATCAATCTTTAAATTTTTTGAGAATGCATGAGATATGATGTTGTCTATTCTACTGATTTTTCAATGGTCTTCTTGTGTTGACGGTTCTTGTAACCTCTGTAAGTTTTAATTATCAGTGCTTTTGTTAGTTGCTAAATATTTATTGGCGTCGGCAACTATCTAGGATTAAAATCATTATCATTAATTCTAAGAAATTCAATAAAATAATTTGTAGTTTTATGCTAATTTTTAACTTAAATTCTAAAATCTTACCCTTTTTAGATAAAGAATGACTTTTATAGGCTTGCAATTCAAATAATCCTTAGCTGGAATAAAATATAAGGAATAAGTCTTAGAGTCAAAATTAGACCAATTTCACAGAACACCATATCTTTTGGCCCATTTTAAGATAAACCTTCAAAACTTTAAAAATATCAATCAGTTGGCCCCTTCACTTTTGGGCAATTCATAAAGATCAAAATGTTTGCCCATTTTTATCTCCCTTTCAGTGGTATAGCCCCTGATTTTTTTCAATATACCCACCTAACTTCCAACAATTATTTTCACAAAAGCCTCTAAACAATTATAATATGAAAAGTGTATAACACCTAACTTCCAACAATTATTTTCACAAAAGCCTCTAAACAATTATAATATGAAAAGTGTATAATACACAATCAATTATGACAACACTATGTAGCCTCTAAACAATTATAATATGAAAAGTGTATAATACACAATCAATTATGACAACACTATGTAAAACAATACTATGTATTTCAGTCCACATGAAACTAATTAGAGGAACTGCTTGTTACCCATTGAAGAGTATACATACACTGAGTCAATCAGAACAGAATTACCTCACTACAACAAATGCACATTAACACCACAAAACGTCCAAATAGTAACACTCTTAAAAGAACTCAAAATCCATAATGTTTCCATCCCTCTTACTACCATGCGCTCCTCTCCCTAGAATCTCAGCCTCCACCAGGTTGGGCACCTCCGACGATATTCACCTCCTTCAAAGAACTCACGCATATATACTAAAACAAATGGTGTCACAAAAACTTCTCTCTTGTGGTAGGATATAGATATAAGAGATTATTATCAAAGAAACTTGGAATTTCTTACTCATTAACAAAATATCATGATCAGTTCATTCCGACTCAAGAAAGTTAGTGGGATAAATATACTACCAATTTCTTGGTATGAAAACTAAGAGTTGTCATAGATTTGTAAGCAAATTGATAATCATCCTCCTCTTCAAAATCTTAAATATAAATGACTCTCTTATATGACCTAAGCATCCAATCTTGAAATTAAGTTTTAACAATTTTTACAAGAATCTCTAGGGGTTTATAATAGTCTCAAAAGTACCAATTGAATTAATGCACACGTACATTACAATTTCATGGGTGGTGTAGAGCTTAACCCCATTCTATACATCAAATGCATTGACTGTAGAATGATGTTAATTGGACTTAAGTACTTTATTGGACGTGGAGGAAGGTTTAGTTGAACTAAGTTGAGTAAAAACTGTATAATAATATTTAGATGACAAAAAAGTAAGATAAATGTACATCCCTCAAAGATAATTAATGTACATCTTATACTAACTATAATATATAGTTTACTAATATATAGATATAAAGTTTCTTAATATATAAATATTGAAGTCTAGTACAAAAAAATGTAACTATTAATAGTTTTACTTGTAAAACCCCGAAAATTTGAATATTTTATGATAAATAATGATAAATATGTCATATGATGAAGAATAATATATTTTAATGTTTGTATATGATAAAAATTGATTTGAAATCAATTCAATATATATATATATATTTGTGAATATATATATGTGCAAATGTGCAAAACATGCACAAAGGCCAAAAGAGAAATCTGAGAATAATGACAAATTATGAGTTTTTATATTTTACGCACGGATGAAGTTAGAATCTGAGAAAGTGTAAAAGATCAAAGTTATAGGTCTCTTCAGCAGTTTTCTAACAAATCTTTAATCACCTTATTCCAAGGTCAGATGTGAAAGTTACAGCCAAAATACCAAAAAGTATGTTTCTAGTCAGACTAGGTTTTCCAGTTTCGGGTTTCGGGTTTTGGGCTGTAGTTTTTTGGGTTTGCTGTCATATATACACATGTTTATACACGAAAAGTACCACTTTTCTCTTGTATTCCAAACCCTAGCAGCCCCTCTCCTCCTCTCTCAAACCCTAGCCCTAAACTTGTGTTCTCGGGGAGTTTCACGAGGCGAAAAGCGATGAGAAGGCAGGATTTGTGGTGTTTGGCATCGAGGGATCATTCTCACACATTTTTGGGAACACCCCTCAGGTGATTTTCATCTCGTCCAATCCTACACCATTATTTTTAAATATTTTTAATGATGTTTTTATGTGATTTGTGAGCCTAACTTGCTAGTTTATGTATAAAAGTTTGATCATATTATTGTATATTGCAAAGAGAACAAGTTTTCAGTAAATAAAGATCACCCATGAATTTCTTAATGTAGATCTAGATCTGAAAATATTTCTAACAAGAGTTTTAAATGAAATATCCTTGTTTTCATATGTTTCGACATGTTTATATGTATTCATGAATGATTTCGTTTTATCTAAAGTGTTTAGAACCTTTTTCCACATGTTTTAGAAATGCTAAATCGTTTATAGAGGATTGGTAGTGCTCGAGATTTACATATGAAAGTTTTTTATATCAAAACCCATAGAGCAAAAAACCTACAGAAAGTTTTCTGCACCTGAACGGCGGTCGCACAGCAGAAGCAGGAAGCTTCTGTTTTCCTGCGTGGTCGACCGTGACGGTCGACCGCTGGGCTCGCAGATGAGCAGAGACCTTCTGCTCACTGCACGGTGTACCGCTGATAATCGACGGTCGACCGTGAGATCTATTTGTGCATGTGCACGTCGTTTGCGTGCAGTTGTGACTGGCGAAACACCTAGGTTATATGGGTTTGTTATACACTGAGATTGGTGTACATGAGTTGACTACTATCATGAAATTAGATTTACTCACTGAGGCATGAGAATAAATGTTATATATGTTGGTTCTGACATCATTTACATGTTGAATTCCTCGTGTTGGACTATAAACTATTGAAGTTCTCGTATTGGACTATAAACTATTGAAGTCCTCGTGTTGAACTATAAACTATTAAAGTCCTCGTGTTGGACTATAATTTATTGAAGTCCTCGTGTTGGGCTATAAGCTATTAAAGTCCTCGTGTTTGGACTATAATCCACTACAGTCCTCGTGTTGGACTTTAAGCTAATAACGTTCATGTATTGGACCTTTATCTGTTGCAGCCCATGAGTCGGGCATATATTTTTGACTTATGTCAGGTTATTGATAGTATGATTGGAGATGGAGCTGTCATTCATTATTGCTTCACACTGTAGCTTTTGGATTTGATATTTAGAGGAGCTGTCTTTCATTATTGCTCCACACTTAGCCTTTGGATTTGGTATTTAGGGATTTACAAATTTGAGACATATGGTATATACATGAGGGTTTCCTTGTTTGGATTATTTCGCTCGATGTACCATGCTCGTGTTGTAAATTTCTAAATATCAAATCTCCATTTATTTTAGAGTAGATGATTATTTATCTATATGTATTAGCATCTATTTTCTTATCCTTCTAGCCCTTCTCCCTGGGGTTGGTTGATATGTTACTCGTTATAGCGCTTTGACGCTCATTGTTTCCCCCTTTCAGGTAACGAGCCAGGTGCACGGAGAGCCGTAGGTTGATGGAGCTGTTCTAGTAGTTATTTATCTATATTATTAGTAGTTATGTCAGAACTCCACAGTGGATGTGTTTATGAACATTTGAGTTATCATTTTAGTTTTGTAAAGGCGATGTGCCTTAATGTCATTTTATTTGAATTCCTATTGTGAGACAGTTGTATCAGTTCAGATATTTTCTTCTTAGAGATTTATCCATTCATATCAGCGGTGATGATTTTTCTTCAGAATATCTGTTGTTTAATATTTTTTTTGTATATTCTCTCTTGCTTGTTTTGTACCTATACCTGTTATTGATTCCACTAGATAGATAGTAATTGTGATGGTGAAACGTGTTAATACACGATGTAGTGTATGACAGGTTTGATATTTTTGGTTTCACCTTGGACTGCAGCCTTGTTGAAACCAGGGGCGTCACATTACTGTAGTTTATAAAATATATCTAGCTATAGTAAATAATATCATTATAATATTGTAGTCTTATATCCTTTAATTGTAATTAATGTGATATGATTTAATAATTAAGATTGGGGGTTATGAGAAGAATTTGAAAGTTATATTTAGAGTTTGGAGTTAGTGGATGAATGTTATGAGTGTGTGGTTAAATGAAATTTTGATGGTCATAAAGATGGTGGTTATGAAAAATTGAGTATGAATGTATCATCATGTATGTATGAATGGATGGATATGTCATCAATAGTGACGTTATAAAAAATTAAGTATTTATGTGTCTCATATATGCATGGATTGATGTGTTGGCGGACATATTAGGGAGAAATGTTTTTGAATAGTGTTAACTTGATGTTTAAGGATAGCAATTAATTATATTGTTTAAGAATATAAACTAATGTTTATATAATGTTTATAAT